ATCATCATCATCATCATCACCACCTTAAAATGCATTCTTTTAGCAGAGAGAAAAAAATAAATTAGAATTTGTAAGACGAATGCTCATTTCTGGGGCTGGTCAACAAGATAAAATTATGTCCTATCGCCGCGAGCGTCATATTCTTTGAGTTTGACAGTCTATTCCTATACACATTTTGACAGCGTTTAGGAAAAGCGATCTTGCGTAACATCCAACTTTGGAATAACCAGCATTTCGAGCTTTAGAATAACGAGTCATCCCCCCCGCTATATTTGTTTGTTACAGGTAGATATAATTGGTATGGCCTACGGCCGTGTATTATTTTCACCAAAGCATCGAACTTCGGCCTTTCACATCTATAGCTTTAAGTCGTTGGCGTGTGTAAGAAAGTCTGTCTTGAAATGAAGATTTCGTCTGTTTTGTTATTTTCGCTAAAACATATTTAAAAAAACCCCGACAACCCCATTTCTTGAACACAGTGTCTCATAGAAGTTGAAGACCCCTTAAAAAAATACACGCGGTAATGAGAGACAAAACACTAAGGGCACTTTAAAATCTTCGTGGAGGTTGTGTGCTAATCTATCGAACTCTTGCTTCATTCTGAATGTCTTTGCTCCCCTGTCAAGAGCGATTGAGGAATTTTTCATTAAAAAGGGGAAGGTTGGTGTCATAGCTGACGGCTATCGATTCCAAAATCAACAAAAAATCTTATCAAACAACCATCTGGAGATGCTGTACAGTGGAAAAATGGTGAAATGGTAGGAGTCTAACGCCCTATCAACACTACTAGGTTATTTAAGAGGCGGGACCTCCTAGTTTAACGTCCGTCTCCGATAGGATCGTGCCAAGTGGGAAGTTCGTGTAAAGTGTCTTTCCTAAGGACACGACGTCGGACCGAGCTGCGGCTCGAACCCCCGAACCCGCAATCTCACGATTACGAGCCCAGTAGCCTAACCACTAGGCTACCGACGCCACCCACATGCTGTACAGTTGAAAACAAACTATTTGTAGAAATAAATCACCGAAAAAGTATTATCTTTCTTCAAGCAAGTGTACATAATCACGAAGCAAACATCAACAAGGCACATGTAGCAAACTTTAGCGCCAAAGTGATAAAGTGCAAAGCAATAGATCTGGAGACCAAACTAAGCAAACTGGTATCCATTCCATTAAAGAGGAGATAATCAGGTCTCTATTGAGGAGCTTCCAATGTTAAACAACTCATTGTTTGGTGAACAACAGAGGTAAAATCACTTGCTATTCCTATCTCCTCTGCACGTTTTATTTTGGTGGGGTGGTTTTTTGGGGGGTCCTGGGTCATAAATTTCCGTCTCACTTGTAAGCAGAATAGAATTTATTTTCGTTGTTAATCTCCCATCCCCCTCTCCCTATTTCTGGTGAATATCCCTAGAGGAAAAAATCAACCCCATTCACCCCTCCTCTACC